AGCACGAAGAGAGCGTTCCCTGCCCTCGTCCCCCCCCCCATACCCTCGATCCTTCGCGCCGTCCCTCCCGCCCGCGCGCGCGAGCGTAGTTCGTCATGTGTTCGTGACAATAGAATCGCGAGGGTTCATGCATAAATGCGACGTAACAATAAACAGAGCGGTCCCGGCTGAGGGCACAGGGGCGAGGACGCGAGGGGCGCGTGGCCCTTCAAAAGCCATCATAGCCGGAGGATCAGGAACCGATATGAGATTCGGCTGTGTATGAATGATGTATCGCGCCCCCAGCTGCGCGCGCGCGCTCTCTATTTCTCTTGCTGCGCTGCTGCTGCTGCTGCTGCTGTTGTTGTTATTGTTGCCAGAGTGAAAGAGGGAGGGAGAGAGAGAGAGAGAGAGAGAGAACGAAACGAGAGTAAGAAACCGCGAGAACGCTTTACTCGAAATACGTATACGCGCATTGTATGCCGGGTATACATTCAGCGCCGGATCTGCCGAATACAGCCGTCGCGCGAAGAATTCCCAGCGTGAAGCGCGGAATCGCGATGGTCCGGTCCGGTCCGGTCGCTGCGCGCCTCGCCACGCAAAAGTGCTGCGCAGATATCCGGAGGCGATATGACAGGATGAATACCGATGCGCGCCGCACGGTATTCCGCAAAGTCTGCGGAGATTGCCGGCTACGGAGGGATACATTGGAGATGCACATTTGTTTATCACGCGATTAATAATCACACGATTGCGCAACATCGCGTGATTTGTGTTAAGATTCAAGAGACTCGATCATTCGAGTGCGTTGTCCCCCTTATGAGTCGTTCGCCCGTCGTGATTGATTTTTTATCGTCAATATTACACCCTGCACGAGAGATCCCAAAATCCGCCGCAATGACTGAGCTGCGGCGAGTTGGCTCCGCGAGTAGTCGCGCAAAGTCGCTCCTCGTCTCCTAACTAGGGGATGCAATGATAAATCGCTAATATCGAGATATCGATATATCGAGGGGCAAATATCGAATATTCATCAATATTTTTTTGTCTCCGATGAAATCGATATATCGATATGAATTTTACTGACATTTCGTATTTTTCAGTCGCAGAACTCTGGGGGGCGTGTTATACGGTTCTACGACCGAGATGAAAATTACAAGAGTGAATGAATTCACTGGAATATATATCATGTAATTGGTTGATGTCTAGTAAATGCGCTCATTTTCATCATTTTCACCTGAATCGTTGAACCGTGATAGATCTCCTGCTCCATGTATACGATAATCTCCGCCAGACGACTGCGGTTTATTATATATTTTCTAATAAGAATATGACAATAAATTGTATGAAGATAAAAATTGTTAAAAGATCTTTCTAAATTTTTCATACCCTTTATACGCATAACCCTGTGTGTATATATTTTTTTATATAAATATCGACACAAATATCGAATAATATTTATCGATAATTCTTCAAAATTATCGATATTATCGTTATCGTTATCGATATTTTGAAAAATCGTTGCATCCCCACTCCTAACAAACGGAGGTTCAATCGGGCAAACGAGAGCGGGAGGAGCGGGAGGTCCTGGAGAGGGATAATTTAGGTAGTCGGGTCGCGAGAGCACTTATCGGTGCGCGTGAATACACCCGCCGCGTCTGCGTCTGCTTGTGCGTGTGAGCGCCGGCGATCGCGATGCAGCGGCGCACGTATAAAGCCGAGGGGGCGAAACCTTAGAGAAGACTCAAAAGAGAAGATGCGCGACATACTGCCGCGCCGGAGAAGCCGCGTTAATAATTTATGACGCGAGCTGCTGCGTGCAATCACGGTAATGCTCGGACGAAGATATCCGGTTCGTCGGTACTTTTACTCGACGTCTCTCATCCGCCCGTCGTTTCTTCCTGAAAAGATTCGCCCGCGACTTGACCGAAATCGGAGAAAATCCGCCGCATCTCTCTCTCTCTCTCTCTCTCTCTCTCTCTCTCTCTCTCTCTCTCTCTCTCTCTCTCTCTCTCTCTCTCCGCGGAATTCATTGCCGGGCGACGCGTGTGTGGTAAGGAATCGAGTCCACTCGGTAGGACTTAATCAAAACGACCTAACGAGCGGCTACACTCACGTGTATTTCCGTCGCCGGGACGGAGAACGTCGATGCCATCAAATTAAAAGTCCCGACGCGTCGAGCCGCTGTACTTTGATTGCTTCGGCAGCAATCGAGATCAAACAAAGTGTGACCCGCTACATTTCCGAACGGAGATTTTCGCGCGCTGCCACTCCTCTTATCGGGGTCAGGCCGCGTGGCGTGGGGCTCATTTGCAGAGTAAGTACGACCCGTCTGCCGGATTAGATACTCGTAAACTCTTATAGATGACATGCAAGACGCGGGGCGCGACGCGCAGAGGCAGAGCTCTCAGGTCCGTGAAGGAGAAACAGGGGCACAGGGGAGAGAAGGGAATAGAGAGGAAGGGCAGAGGGAGAAAGAGAGAAAGAGAGAGAGAGAGAGAGAGAGAGAGAGAGAGAGAGAGAGAGAGAGAGAGAGGGAGAGAAGTTGATGGCACGCGGGGACCGAGGTTGCCTCGAGTGGCGAAACGGCTGGAAGTTCCTTTCATGTAAAGTAATTAACTACCAGCAACCGTTGACAAACACCTTACCCTCGTTCGCGGGCCTCGAGTGTCCCGGCGTCGTTTTCCTAGCACGAACCCTCCCGCCCCCTCCGCCCCGTCTGGTCTCCTTTACCCTTTCAAGGGAGAGAATTTTTGTATTTTTCATCAGTCCTCCGACCCTACGTTTTCCTCGCCGCTCTGGTCGCTCGCTAACTTGTCTGGCTTTATAGCCGGCGTTCCTTTTCGTCCTTGAGGCTTCTCTCCTCCTGGCATTAAGCTTCTATCATCTTTGATCCTCTTCGGCTCTTGCGCAAACCACTGGCCACGAGGAAAATCGACCCTCGCCCTTTTATTTTATGAGGCCCCTTTTATTATCATGCATCCTCAACAAGAAAACCCGCGGCGCTTCAGAGCCTCGCAAAAATTGCATGCGCGTGCAATTTCGCGTCTTAACGTAACGTACCGCGAAAATAATACGCCGAGCGCCGTTTGCATATTTAAGTGTCGGCCAGAGGAACCGCGATTTGACTTGCAAATGTTCAGATTAATGAAACTTTCGACGAAAGCCGCGTGCGGCAATTTTAGTAAACACGGCCGCGCATCCTTCGGCTGTCGTACGTAAGAAACGCGTTGAAAATACACTCGGCTATATATTTAGTCGTCTCCTATTGTTTGAAATTCGCCCGGCGCTAAGAGTCTACTTATCGCCTTGCTGCTCTTACTCGCTTACTCCTCGCCTTCGGCTCGCGGCGCTGAGAATTTACCTTCAGTTAAAAAACTTACACACGTATATACAAGTACGTGTGCTGCGTGGTCTCCCAGGATATCCCGACTTTTCTGATCATCTATCCTCGGGAGACGCAAGTCTGTATTTTTAATCAGCACGCTATAAGCGCCGCGCGCCATTTACCCTTCCTTTTCTCAACTTTACTATTCAGTTACCTTCTCCTCCCCGCTGCGACGTGTTCTAAAATCCCCTTCGACCCCCTGTCTCCCACTGCTTCGTCATCTGTGTTCCCCCATCGGACCAATAAGCGTCCAAGTTTCTGCATTAAGCGGACAATAGACTTAACAAATAATTATTAGCTTTATACGATACATGTCGAAGTCACCCCAATCAGCTAAAAGTGTATCGATGGGTGATTGCACAAAAAAGAATGATAAAACTCAATTAATTAAATTATTCATGTCTTATTTTCCTTGTCTTTTTCTAGATAAGAAGACTCAATAATAAGACTCAATAATAAGATGTCATACCACCCATTTGTGTCTATATCAGTCCACCTGGCGTTCAACATCGGCACAAGAACTGGTTCGGAAGGAAGGGTAAAAAAAGAATTAATTGCACGCATGCTGTTTAATACGCAAACGAGCGGCGATACGCTGCTAGGTACCCGCGTAAATAGAAAAATACCGGGTGTGTGATTAGTGAATTATTTCATACTACTTAATTTCCCCCGCGACGCATTGCTTGGAAATTGACCTGAGGGGCACAACCGCCATTTCGAATGCGGCCTCAAAACTGACGGCACGACACAATGGCCCGACAAAATTGTTAAACGTAATTAGAATTATAACGGCACTCCGACGGAAGCCGATGAGGGGGCCATATCACTTAATTAACGCGTATCCCCAAACAGCAAAATTCAGCATCGCGGCGGCCGTTGACACGAACTCGATATTAAACGCTCGTATTTAATGCTGTGATACGAGTTACGGCGTAAGAATATTTGTGTCGCATTCTGTTCGCATTGATACCAAGAAAATAAATCTGCCATTGTCATTGCCCACAATGTGATTTATATGTTTATGTTATTCCGCATTTTATCATTATACGGTATCGGTGTTATCATAAGTCGCTGTCATAAATCTTCTAAGCGACAAGATATCTATAAAATTATTCATCGTGCATTTGCATGTATCTCGCCCGCTGGGTTATCGTGCGATGGAGAAAATACAAGAATAACCAATTTTATTAGTTCACGCGACACTAAATCAACAGCCATAACTCTCGCTGAACTCGATTTCAGCCGAGACGTACGTGTGAGCAGTTGCATGTACTAATGCCTAAGTATTGCAATGAATTGATATTCACGCGTCTTACCGAAGCGCGATCGTTATTCAAACGTGCATTGTGTGACTTAATCTCTACTCTCTAATAGAGCATTACATAGTTTCTCTTCAGCCGTTCAGAGACAAGAACGCGACTGCGATTGCGATTGAACGCGATGTCATTGAACCTGGAAATATGGGGAACGTTGTTGCTTCATTCAGACGCAGCATGAATCTTTCCGTTGCTTTATTGTTACATAATGTAGGGGGAAGCTCATAAACCTAAGCGTGCGTGAAGTTTGCACAAGGTAACATCATTTGCATTAAACTAAAGTCAACTAATCACAGTTTCAGCAATTTACAGGATTAAATAAATAAATTTGCATTGACAATAGTCCCTCGTAAATCTTGATCGATACCGAATAAGCGCCGATCCCAGCGACGCCCTATGATCCTTTCCACCAACTTTTTTCCACGATGAAGCGTACCATCAAGGACAAGGCCATGAGAGAGATAATGACCGCCGCTGCCACAAAAATAGCTCCGTATTCTGTCGGGATCATTAATTTTAGAGTCTGTTTGACTGTAGTAATGGTAGTATTTCTAGCGAGCTAATGTTATTTTTTTTTTACTCTTCTCTAGCTAAGTTATGTTTTCAATTCGGTCAGAACCTGAGTGTTTAACAAACAACCGCTCAGAGAGAATCGCTTAGACTTCAGACCTAAGAATTGCCAATGCTAATAATATAAGCGAAGCAGGTTTTTCACTTCCTTCGAGTGTCAGGACAAACGGGCCAAAAATAGCCTAAGCATTTCATAGCTACGCACGTGGTACGAGCAAAGCGATAAATAAAGTAATCAATAATTTTGCAATAATGTTCAGAGATTGCTCGCGCTACCATGCTTTATCTCCAGCAAAGGAAATTTTTTCTGCCTCTCTCGAGTGCCTGTTCGAGCTTTAAAATTCAAACTCGTATTAATCAAAATGTAAAGTGCAAAGACGCGCGCGTTGCTTCGCTCGCATCCGACGAGTACAACGACGTTGAACTTTGACCTGACAAATCAAAGGACACACACATAGCGGAAAGGGCAGTGCGTGACTTTCATCGGCAGCTCACTCACTTCGTGATCTCCCGTCTTCGATTTTCTCGACGACCCCGCCGTCTGCGAGCCACGTTTCCCTCCAGTCGCCGCGGTAACCGAACTTGAAGAACCGGTAAGGCATTAAGGGCATCGGGAGCGACGAGTGTTGGCAGTTAGTCTCCTCGGGATGGAAAGCCGCGGTCGCGGACGGCCGAGAGGTTTGGAAAGGCGCCAACGGTATTTCCACTCTGTAGGGCGGCGGGTTCGTGGAATACGAGTCGCCGAATGAAAAAGGGCCATACGGCCAGCCGACGTGATTCGATAGCGCGATCGCGCTGTAAGGCGGCAGGATCGAGGCGTAGGGCGGCGGATCGTCATTTTCCACGGCGTCGTTTACGGTAATCGACAGCGGCGTTACCGGATTGCTCGAGGGTTCCTCGACCTGCTGCGCGTTACGACTTGATCCCGTGGATTTGTCCTGCGACGTCGGCCTTGATGACGACGACGACGACGACGACGACGACGACGACAACGACGAGGCGCCATCTCGGTGGCACGGCTCGTCGTCCATGGCCCTTCGTTCGCCAGGTTGAGCTCTCACACACGTGCTCGTCGGCGCATCGCCGTGTATACGATTGGACAACAGCAGCTCGGTCTCCGGATTTGCCGAGAGATCTATAAACAAATTCGATTGGTATGCACATACCGCCGACTGCGAGCTCGATTCTCCTGCGATTCGCGGCATAACAAACTGTCTCCTTCATGGCGCAGAGGAAATTTAAAAGAGCGGCAGATGTAAGCTACGACTTGGCTCGTAGCTCGTTGACGTAAAACGTCAGCGCAAGTTCTTTTAATTTTATAAACACGTCGCCGGCAAGCATCGTACAACGAAAAACGTTGAGTCAACAATTGAGATATAGTCTCGGCGGTACACTTATTGCATTCGAATGAAAAACCTGCGAAGTGAGACCTGAATGTTGACTCATGCTAACCAGTTTGCGCGAACGCTGTCACGGATAAACAATATCCGATGTGTTTTCTAAGATCGCCGGAGGACCGGTTTTTTTCCGATTACTCTTGTATATTGTAAATCGATTGTAAACCTTTCCGACGCAGTGCAAAGTGCAAGTATCTTGTCCTTGTCTGTCGAGAAAGACTGTTACACGCTAATTGCAACACATTTTTACAGAATAAGTGTCTGAAAATAGTGCTGAATAAGGTACTGCTGCCGTAAAGGTGCGGTTTTCCTTATATTATTAATCAACGAAACAAACTATAAAAAAGATATATGTAAGATTTTAAAGAGGGAAGGGGTTTCAAGTTTTTCTTTTCGTAGGAAGAAGCTCGAAATTGTCACGTTACAAGTTTAAAATCTTAATGATCGATTCTATCAAAATAACAACTTTTCTAGAAAGTCACGCTCGTGTTTATAGAAAACCAGATTTTAGACATTAACACGGCGCTTCGTTGCTTGTCCACTCATTTTTTAACCTAACCTAACCTAGGTTTGGTTTACTTTTTAATTTAATCGGATTAAGTATGTTTCAGTCTGATTAAGTTGGGGAGATGAGCTTCGATTCGCGTGGAAATTTGCAAACTTATGTGAAATGGAATTGGACGAGTGCAAAAGTTTCGATGGGTTTCTCAAAAATACAACTGATCTAATTTTAAAGCGGCACTTACAAATATGTAGTATAATATCAACCAAAGATGATAGGAAACAACGGCAATTATAGCAGAACGAGAACAAATCGTTCTCAATTACCAAATCCGATAAAACCCAACTGAAAGCCTAACTATTTATCTAATCTAAGCCTATCTAAAAGCCTATCTAAAAACTATTTCTTCCAACTATTTATCAGCTAATCTAATCAACAATAAAATTGATATCTCGTCAGGAATTATTTTCTCCATTTTAAAAACATATTTATAAATATGTTTTCGTTAATACATACAGTTAATAATGTATAGTTCTTTAAAAAATATCCAATAAATAAAATTGAATTCTTTCCAATAACTCTATAATGATGCAGAAAAAAGGTAATATAAGCAAACGTTATTAATCCTGATGAGAGCTGTACGAATAAAAAAACTGTATCTGCTCCATTAAAGAAGAAAAAAAAAAAAAGAGAGAAACAAGAAATGAGAGAAACTCATTAAAAGCCCACAAAAATCTTTTCGCATGCCAAATAGTCAACCTGCGCGTCTCATTTAATGTGAAAAAAATGTTAATGCATATATATACGTATGGTGGTCCGGTGGTCTCGGGAAAAACAGCTTGTAACACAGCTTGTTAATTGATTCCAGCCCGTACATTTTTAATAGCTTGTTCTGTTCATTATCATAAAAATGGCTTTTGTTCTTTCGCCGCGGTAGTATTTTGGAGCATTTACTGTCCACTTATTATTAATGTGTATACGTTCGCACGAGTTATGTTTGTCCCAAAACCCGGAGAAACCGCACACGTCGACAGTTTTTCGTTGCATATATTTATCACCAGACAGCGCAATAGCCTAATTGTGGCGCGATTCTTTAACTCGTTACTGGAATTAACGACACTTTCGTTATCGTTGCGCAGCTTTTGTATAGCTTTTGTATACCGTAGAAATAAGAATCGCGCCGCTGGTACGACGCATCATCGGTAGACGGAAACCTCGCAAATTCACCGTGCGAAACACAAGAGATAAAATCGCGCGCATATCGGACGCGCGAACGAGTGAGCGCGCGCGTCCGTCGTAGGATACGAGAGATTGAAAAACACCTTGAAGCTATTTCGTCTGTGGGGAATAATTGATGGAGATGCGTGTCGTCGTTCATGCGAATTCATTGCAAACGCCAAGGACAGAAGTTGCCCGCGGTAATTTGAAGTCACCTCGCTGTGCACACAGCGAGTGTACACACTCGCGCGCGTTTACAACGTGATTTTAAGTTAGTCCTTTCGTGACACAGCGAGCGGCTGATAAAAACGCGCGACTTCGCGCCGCGACGGGCCGATATTTCAGCGGCGATGCGTACGGCCGATCGCGGCCCGGTCGTTCTGCCGGTGACACGTACGTGACGCATGTTTCATCGCAAGATCCTTGAGAGCTCATGTGTTCACCTTCACGCTCTTAAAGCGCAGTAGCCGAAGAAACACTTTCTATTACCGCACGCTCGTAAGCGGTAACGTGAGCCGAATTCCCGCGCGTTCCGCGCAGTTGCGTCAGGCGCATGCGTTTATTTTAAAAGGGAACGTTTCGCCCTGAACACCGACCGCTTTCCATTACCACCGTAGAGGCTCATAATCCACGCGATCCACATGAATGGCAGACTAACGTTTGCTAAGGCGGAAGATGAAATCTGCATACGTTTGCGAGCATAACATTGTTTTGACGTTACCATACATGCTGGTTATCGGAGATTACTAGAAACTAAATTAACGTCTGTTCTGGTCTGCCACAAATGTCACGAAGCTAGACATTTACCGGATACTCACAGTGAACTACCTATGATAATAATACCTGTGATAATAATACCTGTGATAATAATAAACTGTCAATGTAACGAAAGAAACATAGTAAAACAAGGTGTCGATACGATAAGAGAAAATCAGGAATTTTCGCGTGCGCACGGACAAGCGATTTTCTCCGAGTGAATCTACTCGTGGGTCACAACAGAACATAACATTCTCACCGCTCCACATTTGATCTTATCTTATAACTTCAATTCCCCTCTGATGATTTAGACTTGTACAGCGTAGAGAGATATTTGACATGATTTCCGAATTGATGCGTTTGCGCGTGTACCACGTCCATCTCTTAAATTTGTTTCCGACGCGCTCGAATACCTCAGCTCCAGCTTTTTCACTTCAGCGAGAGAGAGAGAGAGAGAGAGAGAGGAACGCTGAGAAACTGTTGCTGCTGTCCGAATATCAGATCAAACCCATCATATTAGCCAGTGCGCTGATAATCAAAAAATTTTACGTCTCGGACGACACGGAGAGATATCGATTTCTTTCTGTTCCCTCGCACAAGCGTCTTGCGAAACTCGCGCAGCGATTCGCCACGAAAGCACCCGCGCACGCACACGACGTCGCTCGGTGACATTGTCCGTTACCGCGGTGGAGGCCCAATACGAGGCGGGCCGGGTCCGGTTCTCTTCCGAAACGTCAAGAGAGTCGAGCCGTCATACGCGCTCGTCGGCACGCACTATCGGCAAAAATTACACGGCAGATTCGCGCGCGCGCGCGCGTGCGCGCGTGCATACCTCTGCCGGCGCACATGTCTTCTCCAGCGTTCCTCGACATTTCTCCATGCTACGTATACCAACTCGGGCGACGACTGAGCGACCGGAGAGAACGTCGTGAGAATATCGTGCGCGTTCGTGATCCGACTGGCGACCACCACGGTGGTGACCGCGACGACGACGACGACGACGACGACGACGATGCACTCGCCGATCGGCTTGAGAGAGAGAGAGAGAGAGAGAGAGAGAGGGGGGGGAGAGGGAGGGAGAGAGAGGGGGAGAGAGAGAGAGAGAGAGAGCAGTACTACGGTATACGCACGGATATATAGTACGAACAGTGACATGCACGCAGTCGCGCTCGATCTGATAGTTATGCGCGATAATGTAATAACTCGTCGCGAAGATAACACAAACTGAATAAACGACGACGCGGCGAGGCAAAACAGCGACCACATCGTGCTAATGCGACCACCAATCGCCGAGCACAATATGAGCACGATGAGGGGCTCAGCACGTGACCGGCCGATTTCGCAAGAGCAGCACTTTCGATGACCACCTCGGAATTCTCGGAGTTACTCCAAGGTCGTGGGCATGATCGTGGATTTGATTTTTGTGACTTTTTTCTTCTCATAAGGATGGTCCGATGGATCTTTTAACACTCGCTGCCAACGTCCCTCCCCTCCTCCCCTTGCCATACTGAAGAACACACATGGAGAATAAAGTAACGTAAAAGTAAGAGACAAAAACAACTTGTTTGCGAACAATAGCTCGGTCGTAAGAATTCTCTTTCGAGTCGCTCGCGAGTTCCCTCGAGTTTCTCACGAACGAAGGATCGCTCGTCCTTCGCTCCCGCGTGCGCTCCTGCGGCCCCCCGAGTCCACCGAGTATAGACATATAGATTCGTAATTAGTCGGTAATTAGACCGCGTGCGGCGTTAAACGGCGCTGTTAAATAAGCAACGGGCGCAAATCGGCGTTCCGGGTGATTGACCACGGCCACCAATTCACTGGGCTGCCGCCCGTCGTCCTCGTGAGTTGAGCAATAATAAACCAGTTCCACCGGCTCAGCAGTGTGTAACGAGAGCGCTCGTGATTTCGGGACATCACGTTGCTGCAGATGTCGAGGCGGGCATCGATTCCAACGGCGAGCGATATTGGATGATGTCGCTGAATCAACGCAATTCGTGCAAGAAGTGGGTTAAGGTTGACGCATGACTTAACGCGCGGCCTCGCCGCGACGGAGAGTTCCAATTATCCGAACGGTGCGTCCGCGTGGACTACGTGCGAGTCTATCGGCTGGATGCTGCGCGGATTTTACCTTGTACACCTCGTCGTGAAACCTGTCACGCGGCAGATTATACGACGTCTGCACGATCACGGATAATTGCAGCGCGAGACGTCTGACGGGCGTCGACACATACGCGATCGAGAACTACATTCGCGGAAGACTTA